TCATTCTTCATGTCATGTAACAATCCAGTCTCCCTCCCCCTGCTTAACCTCTCCTTAAAAACTGGCTTGGGCTGGGCGCGGTGGCTCAAGCCTGTAATCCCAGCACTTTGGGAGGCCGAGGCGGGTGGATCACAAGGTCAAGAGATCGAGACCATCCTGGTCAACATGGTGAAACCCCGTCTCTACTAAAAATACAAAAAATTAGCTGGGCATGGTGGCGTGTGCTTGTAATCCCAGCTACCCAGGAGGCTGAGGCAGGAGAATTGCCTGAACCCAGGAGGCGGAGGTTGCGGTAAGGCGAGATAGCGCCATTGCACTCCAGCCTGGGTAACAAGAGCGAAACTCCGTCTCAAAAACAACAACAAAAAAAACCTGGCTTGATCACCAGCTCCTTCAGAGAGTATCTTCTGAGCCCGGGTTGAACTGTCCCTCATCTGTGTTTCCATAGCTCACTGTCCATACCTTATCACAGCATCAAACACACCAGATTGAAACTACCAAATTTGTACACATGCACATACACATTCAGATCCCAAGAACCTAGAAACTGGTATATCAAAGACATTGTGTAAAGTCTGTGAAGGAGTTTCTGTGCCAGGGAAAGCTCCACTAACTGTTAAACTTGCTAGGTATTTCTCCAGCTTTATGAACATTTTATGTCAGATATACCTGCAGAGACCACTTAAAGTTTACTTTTGCTCTAGGCTGAAAACAGTATACCTGAGGAAAAACAGTAACATGCCTTACACGTTTTAAAATCTCCACTTTTAGTTTTCATCTAAACAGTGCAGATAATTTTGAGTCTACAAGGCTTCTGAAAAAGAGCAGTGGATGCCAGGTGCTTGGGGGTGGGGGTTGGAGGGGCGGAAATGGGCCTTAGTGTGCTTTAATGTCTAAGGATACAAAGTTTCCGTTTGGGAAGATGAAAAAAAAAATTCCTACCCACTGCCACCCTCCAGTTCCCATCTGAAAAGACAACGACCTTCATGGACAGCTCTTTTCTCTGTTTTTCTTTTACCTCAACATTTAAATATTGCCTGATTTCTTAATTTCAAGAGAATGTGTTGACTTCCTGACAAGGTAAATGAGGTTTTGGCTCACACCCTTCACCCTCTTCATGCTTTGCCAACACACAGCATAGTTACAGCACAATTTTTGGTTAAATCGGAAGCCATTTTGTTGCAACATTATCAGTACAAATATTGTTATCTGCCTTGACAGACTGTACATTTTACACAATCCTTTATTTTTCTTGGAGTTGGTGATTGCCTCATTTCAGTCAGTTGCTGTTAATTCTATATACTTTGTTAATTTTTTTCCACTATTCTGGCATCAGAGTCTTGCCTCATTTTAATAGATTCCAACATTCCATTTCCATTTTTCTCCTGGAGACTTCCCACTCTGTCCTCCTCCCACTTTGGGTGGGCTGGTTTTCAGGCCTGCTGCACAGCTGCCTTTTTGTTAACTGAGGTAAAATATGCATAACAAAATGTATCATCTTAACCATTTTGACATGTACATTCAGTACATACCTAAGTGTTAAGTACATTCACACTGTTGTGCAACCATCACCACCATCCATCTCCGGAACTCTTCTCATCTTGCAAAACTGAAATTCTGTACCTATGAAACAATAACTCCCCATCCCCACCTCACCCTAGTCCCCAGCATCCATCATTCTCCTTTCTGTCTCTGTGAATTTGGCTACTCTAGGTACTGCATATAAGGATGGAACCATACAGTATATGTCCTTTTGTGACTGGCTGATTTCACTTGGCATGTTCTCAAGGTTGATACATATTGTAACATTTATCATATTTCCTTCCTTTTTTGTACACCTGTCTTTTGTACCTTTCTGCACTGCTCTCCTTAGATCCACTTAGATCACTTTTGTTCCACTTTCTTGCTTTACCTGTCTGTTTTGCTAGAGGTCCATAACCTCCAGTATCTTCTTAAATAAAGCAAATATGAGGCTGGGTGTGGTGGCTCATGCCTGTAAAACAGAGACTGTCTTTTCTCAAAGATCTACTTACAGCCACACAAGGCATCTCCTTGCTATGCAAGGTGTATTTCCTATGTCCTATTTCTTGCAGCATCATTGAGCTGACAGCAGGCCTCATTTTGAACTTCCACATGTGGCATCTCTTGAAAAATCTGTAGCTGTGGCAATACTGAGCTTGCATTTCCTCATGGTAGCCAAGTTATGGCTGCCACCAGTAAAGGGAAATCTAGAGACAATGCTTGCAAAGCACCTACCCATAGCCTGGTGAAACACTCACTCAACAAATAGAAGTTGTTCTTTTTCATGGTATTACAGTTACTCAAAGGTTCAGAATTTAAAAGGGTTCAGGCAAATGGGGGAGCCAGACTTCATATTTGTAGATTGGCTTTGATTTAGGGGTTTTGAAAAAATACCGTTGAGTTGCCATTCTTGACAATGAGCTTGTATGTACAGCAACAGCTGTGGATCCAAGCCAATCTACAAATGTATATATGGCACCTGGTTATGAGTATGGAACCCGGAGCTGGATTGCCTGGATTTGAATCCTGGCTTTACCACTCTCAGGCTGACTTTTCTTTTTTATGTCTGTGTTTTCTCATCTCTAAAATGGGGATAATAATGGTACCAACATACCTTGAGTTTTGAGTTAACATACATGAACCAGCTTAGCATATTAGGCACATACTAAACATTACATAAATGTTTGCTTTTATTTTTTCAATACACTTAGATGATAGGCTGACTTTACTCAGCATAATATTAAGCACATACTAAACATTATATGAATGTTTGCTTTTTATTTTTCAGTAAGCTCATCCTTGAGTACATTGTTTTCTTTGGGCTACAGAAGGCTCCCCGGTTGAAAGAACACATTTGTTTTTTTGGTTGTCATTCTGATTTCTTTTTTTTTTTTTTGAGATGGGTCTTACTCTGTTGCCTGGACTGAAGTGCCATGGGGTGATCATAGCTCACTGTAACCTTGAACTCCTGGGCTCAAGGGATCCTCCTGGTTCAGCCTTCCAAGCAGCTGAACTACAAGCATGCATCACCACACCAGAATGATTTTATTATTTTTCATAGAGAAACAGAGTTTCATGATGTTGCCCAGGCTGGTCTCAAACTCCTTGCCTCAAAAGATCTTCCTGCCACTTGAGCCTGGGAAGCTGAGGCTGCAATGAGCCACGACTGTATCACTCCACTCCACTCTGGTCAACAGAGTGAAACCCTGGAAAAAAAAAAAAAAAAAAAAAAAAAAAAAGATCCTCCTACCTTGGCCTCCCAAAGCACTGAGATTACAGATGTGAGTCACTGTGCTTGGCCCCTAATTCTTCTTGTTAATGCATAAGTCCTGTTTCAGGTATTATGAAATCAAGTGACCATCCCACAGGAAACTGACACTGACATTGAGCCACCATTCTGATACAAGGAACTCTCAGCAGGAGGACCTTACGGTACTCTGCCAAGAACAATTCTAACCTGTTTAAGTTTGTCTCTTTTTCCTATCTGTATCTCCTCCTACCATCAACTTTCTTCTTAGCCTTCTAAGCCGGATCTTTTCTCTCTCTCTTGGCTGCTGCTTTCTCATGATTCCTCTTACTCCTTTGGCTTGCTCAGGACTCCAGTGGCCTCACTCTGCCTTATGACTTTTCAATCCCAATCATCATGGCCAACTGCTTCACTTCTGATTTCCCAATTCAGATTCCCAAGAGCATGAGTCTGTATGAGCAAAGATTTTTGGTCTGGCAGCCTCCTGGACCAGTGGCTAATCTATAGCCTGGTTACTCAAATAGTTGTCCTACCCTGGCTAGTATGCAGGGAAAGCTAGGTAACAGAGCTACAAAATCCCACAGCCTAGGCCTTCTAGGATGGCTTCCATAGGATGTACCTGCTGGCATACATATGAAGAGTCGGGTGTGAATGCCAGGCAAGTAGATAGGACCTATCCAGGGTCCAGAGAAGAACCAATAGGAGATAGAGATATAAGAGAACATTTAGTATGAGAATTGGTTCATATGATTAGAGAGGAGTCCCACGATCTGCAGTCTGCAAGCCGGAGAACCAGGAAATCCGGTGGTATAATTCAGTCTGAGTCTGAAGGTGTGAGAATCAGGGGGAGCTAATGGCATAACTCTCAGTCCAAGACTGAAGGCCTGAAAACTGACGATGAGTGCCCAAGTCCAAAGCCAGGAGAACCAAGAGTTTTGATGCGGTGTAAGGGTAGAAGATGGATGTCCCAACTTGAGAGAGTAAAGCCACCCTTCTTCTGCCTTTTTGTTCCTTTTCAGTCTTCATTGAATACGATGATGCCTGTCCACATTGGTGAGACCAGATCTTCTATTGATTCAGATCCTAATCTGTCCTGGAAACACACAGACACACCCAGAAATAATGTTTTTCCAAGCTATCTGGGTGTCCCTTAGCCCAATCAAGTTGAGTCATAAAAGTAACCATCACCTGTTTGCCATCTTTCATTCAAGCCCAGATACACACGCTGGTTATCTCAGCCATTCCTTGGGTAGCACATCCAAACCCGTCTGTTTCCTCTCAGTCTCTCCTTTGCCTTGTGACAAATAGGTTTTGGAAGAAGCTGTCACCCTGAACTTGTGCCTTTAAGAGTGGCATGCCACTTACTCTGTGTGGCCTAATGCACTAATTCCTAATCCCTCCCTGATCCCAGTGTAAAGTGTGGACACCAGTACATACTCAGCCTCACAGAACTGACTGGTCAGGCGCACTCATCCCCAGGCACGCGGCCACCGGTCACCGACAACTACAGACCAAGTCTCTGCCACCCAGATCAAATGCCCGGATGCTAATGCCCCATACAGCCCGGCATCCCACCCCCAACCCCCTTCATCCTCAGTCACTCACACCGGTGAGAGACTACCTCGCTTCCTACCTCCGTTCCCGGGGCTGTGGCGCCCCGAGGCCGGCGGTGTCTCAGCTTTCCCTGTCCCCGGCGGACGGTGGCCGAGGGACGGAGTGGGTTTCCAGCCGGCGGGGTTAGGCCGCTACACGCCGGAAGTGGCTGCTGAGTGGGGGCGCTGAGGTGTCGGCCGGCGGGGCAGAGGCCCGGAGCAGGGGGCGGGGGCGTTGGTCATGTTTCCTTTCGGGCCCCATAGCCCTGGAGGGGACGGGTCGGCCGGAGCCTGGGCTGAGGAGCCAGCGCCCTATGAGGGGCAGGCAGCAGCCGCCAGGCCGCCCTCACCTCTACAGCCAGGGGTGGATGTGACCCCTCCTCATCCACCTGCCCGGAGCCCTCGCCGCCCCGGTGCCCCATCGCTGTCCCCGGCCCCACGCGCCGGAGAGCTCGAGCCTCCCGGAGTCCCGGAGTCCTCGGCTGCCTCCGCCCAGGGAGAGCCGTCACCTCCCTCCCCACCGCGCCGGCGGCCCGGGCCAGACTGCAAGGCCGAGAGTCGGGGCCAGCACCGCCTCAGCGCGGGCATGGGCGGCCCTGGCGCCAGGCTGTTCGGGTGGCTGAAAGAGCGCAGCCTGGGGCGCGGGCTGTTCGTGGACCCAGCGCGGGACAATTTCCGCACCATGACTAGCCTCTATGGTTCCATCCACCCCGCGGACTCGGTGTACCTCAGCACCCGCACCCATGGCGCCGTCTTCAACCTCGAGTACTCGCCCGACGGGTAAGCGCGGCCCCTCGGAGGGCGGGCGCCCGCCTCCGCCTGGCTCTGCTGCCCGCGGATCGCCGCCCGGCTCGCTCCTCTGGCTCGAGCCGAGGTTAGCGATGCCGCTTGGGGCCGCTGGCCTTCGTGCCGCCTGGCACTTTCTGAAGCGCATTCTCGCTCTCGGAACCCCCAGCCCAGCTTTCTGAGGCAGGCAGGCGGGACCCCACTTGCTCGCCTTCAGGACTTGGGCTCTGTGAAGGAGAAATGCCCGAAGCCACACAGCGGACCTGTCAGAGCCGGCCCACAACTAGGGCTTTCTGGTACACAGTAGGTGCTCAGTAAATACGTTTTGAATAAATGCCCACTTTCTGCCCATCATCCTAGGCTAGTGTTTTCCCACCTAAACCTGTGTTGGGGACAGGAGGGCTGTAGATTCCTTGCATTCTGTGCCTGAACTTGCCATGATGGGACAAGTGCATTCCTTTGCTGAAGGAAGATAGAGTATTAAGACCTTAGAGACGTGGCTCTCATGATTTGGGCCATTTGTGAAGTCCCCAGACTAGACTACAGCCTTTTTTTCTTGGCTGATTAAATATTTCTTGTATGGCTTTGGTGTAACGGGAACTTTCCGAAATCCTATCTATTTAAAACTTTGTCTTGTCAGTACACAAGTCAGCCATCAAAGGAAAAAAATTGCACAGTTCCACCATGAGGTGACATAGTTAATATAATTCTTACCCCCTCAAAGGCTCTGGGTTGCTGGTTATTTACTCAGTTGTTCATTCATTCATTCATTCTCTCATTCTGCGTATATTTGTTGAGCACTTGCTATGTTCCAAATGCAGGAGTAACCATGCTGAGCAAACCCAGCTAATGGCACTGTTTTCATTGAGCTAGGGACTTAGTGGTTCAACTAGATAGTAGATAGCCCTACTAAATAATGCGTTAAGTATATTGATAAATTGAGATAAAGTCTTGAAGGAACCTGTTATGGACTGTGGTATTCACGGATTCCCTGAGGAAGTGACACTTAAACCAAAATTTAAAAAATTGAGTAGGAAATAAATTAGTCAAGATAGGACTGGGAAAGGGATAGAAGTATTTCAGAGGGGGATGATTGGTATGTCAAAGGTCATATATCCATGGTAGTAGAGGGCAGCATGTCACGTTAGAGAAGGTGAAAAAGAATAGGTTTACAAAGAAAAAAAAAAAATTTTTTTTTTTTTTTTTTTTTTTTTTGAGTTGGAGTCTTGCTCTTATTGCCCAGGCTGGAGTGCAGTGGTGTGATCTCGGCTCACTGCAATCTCTGCCTCCCAGGTTCAAGCCATTCTCCTGCCTCAGCCTCCTGAGTAGCTGGGATTACAGGCATGTTCCACCACTCCTGGATTATTTTGTATTTTTAGTAGAGACGGAGTTTCTCCATGTTGGTAAGGCTGGTCTTGACCTCCCGACCTCAGGTGATCTCTGAGGCAGGCCTGTCTCTGCCTCCCAGAGTGCTGGGATTACAGGAATGAGCCACTGTGCCCGGCCAGCAAAAAATTTTTACTAAAGAAAGACCTGCAGTTGCTAAGGAAGGAGCAAAGGAATAGAAGCAGGAATTACTGTGAGCAAATAGACTGTATTCCATTTCACTGATGCAAGTGCTTCCTAATCACTTGTGGTGCTGGGGTTTCTGGGTTTCTTCTTAACAGCAATTGGTTGGCGCATGTAGCAGTGAATGCACACCTCAGTAAGGTGGAAAACTGGTGAGAGGAGAAACTATTTTGCTGAAGCTTATTCATGGAACCTTGCCACCTCCTTCCTTCAGCCAAGCCCTATTCCTAAAGTTTCCCTCAAAACACCAATAGTATGTTCTCAAATATTCAGTTTCTCTCTTCATATCTTGGCCTCTGTCCTCCCAACCTCCCACCCATACAGGAATTCAGAAGTAGGTATTTCTACTTTTTGGATGTGGGATTTTAGGTAGAGGGTGGGAGGGGTAGAATGAGAAGAACAGATTTTAGAGCTGTTAGAATGAGGGATAGATTGCTTAAAGTTTTTGTTTGAATCTAGAATTCATTTTCTCATAACAGTGTTGTAAAAGGTGGTTAGATACTCTTGCGCTTAAAACAGTTCAGGCCGGGCACAGTGGCTCATGCCTGTAATCCCAGCAATTTGGGAGGCCAAGGAGGGAGGATCACTCGAGGTCAGGAGTTCAAGACCAGCCTGGCCCAATATGGTGAAACCTCATCTTTTTTTAAAAAAAACAAAACAGTTCAATAATTTTAAATTGCACAATTAACATATATGCTCATTGTGTAAAATCTAGGCAATAAATGAGCAAAAAATACCTAAACATCGCTATGATCCCAGAAATTAAATGGATATCTAAGGAAATTTTTTGTGTATGTTGATTTTAATATAAACATGGAATGACTGTTTTGTAGCTTGCTTTTTTCTTACAGTATATTGTGAACTGTTTATGCTAATAAATATATTTCTACAACATTATTTAACATTTTTTCATTAGTTTAAATAAACCCTCTTTTAACAAATATTTTGTATTTATATCTTTAGGATAAATCCCTAGAATGAGTTATTGTTACAAGATTTTTATGCCTAATGTTAAATTGCCCTCTGCAAAGATTTGCCCTCTGCAAAGATAAGTAATTCTCATTACTATATTCTGATTCCTACATTCCAGACACATACGGAAGTGCCTGTCTCCTCATACCCTTGGCAACACTGCATACAGCCATTCTTTTTCATCTTTGTCAGGGCGATGAATGAAAATACTTCAGTGTTTTAAGTTTTCAGTCTTCTTACTTCATCTAGTATGCACTACATTTGTGTAGGACTTAAAGTAATTTTAGAGATAGATGACATATCTGTGTTAAAAGAGATAACTTCTCATATCCTTCTGTTAAATATGAGTTAAATCTTACCAGGTAGCATAACCACTGTCACCTACAAGGACTTCTCAATACAGAAAAGGAGGGGTGACACAGAATGTAAGAATTAAAGCTGTGAATTTAATAAAGACCAGAATACAAGGAATTTGGTACTAAATAGACTAGAAGGTATTTTCTAAAGAATTCAGAAAATGTTTTCAGTGATAGAAACATTGCCAAAACAAGTGTATCACCTTCTAAAATGACATTTTGGAAAAGTAAAATTGATAACGTTTAGATTATAGTATGTCAGACCTTGTCAACTTGTTCTCCATGACAACATGTTAGGCATAGCTAGAGAGATAATTCACATATTGGAAAAAAGAAGCAAAGAAACTAACTAGAATACAGACCTGGAAAACACAGATATTGAAAATATGAAAAGGAGACTTACTAACATAGGGCATAGAGAGAAAAAGCATACCATATTAGCCAGAGTTCCTGAATAGTCCGTTTCTTCAGGAACTGTGGCTAACTATATAGTATGCTTATACCATATAAGTGTACCATATAGTATAAGGGGGACTGTTTGAAGACATAATAGCCGAGAACTTTCCAGAATTGAAGGCACCAAGCCATGATTTAAGAAGCCTAACAAACCCAAGGTGGAATTCTTTCTAAACATATTGTAGTGAAACTGTGGGACAATAAATATAAAATCTTAAAAGATAGAGAAAAGAGGCTTCAAGGAAGTAACTCTAAGAGTGATAGCCAATTAGTCATCAACCATAATATAAATCTAGAGACAGTGGTAATTCTTTTCAATATGCCAGGACAAAAACCTCAGTCTAGATTTATACCCAACAAAGATGGGTTATTTGTCCTTGACAAGAACAAAGATGAAATAAATACATATTCAGATAAGCAAAACTGATTAAGTTTGCAAGCAGACCTTCAACAAAGAAATTCTAAGTTTAGAGAGAAGGTAACTGTTTTCGAATGGAAGGTCTGAGATGCTAGGAAGAACAAAAAAGTGTTAAATATGTATGTACATGTTAATCTGATAATGTCTTTTGAGATTAATAGAGATGGAACAAAAATAGAAGATAATAATAGCATATAAATTATGAGGTGAGACCCGGTGTGGTGGCTTATACCTGTAATCCCAAGCACTTCGGGAGGCCGAGGTGGCTGAATCACCTGACGTTAGGAGTTTGAGACCAGCCTGACCAATGTGAAACCCCGTCTCTACTAAAGATAAAAAAATTAGCTGGGCGTGGTAGCTGGTGCCTGTAATCCTGGCTACTCGGGAGGCTGAGGCAGGAGAATCCCTTGAACCTGGGAGGCAGAGGTTGCCATGAGCAGAGATCACATCACTGTACTCTAGCCTAGGTGACAGTGAGACTCCATTTCAAAATAGAAATAAATTATGAGGTGATATTCTAAGTTTTTATGTTTTTTGGGGGATATTTACATGTTAACTTTTGGTTTTAATAGGTATTTAAAAATTTCAAGGAACCAAAAGACAAGGAAGATTATAATTTCCAGACTAGTTTACAAGAAAGAGTATGGAATGAGATAAAAATTCCAAAAGAAGGCAAGAAAGAGAAAGAAAAAAAGACAAGGTATGATAAATAAAAAGCACAAAGAACAGCTGAAAATAAATCAAAATATTACTAGTTACAATAATTATAAGCTACTAAATATTCTAATTAAAAGACAAAGAGTAATCCCAGCATTTTGGGAGGCCAAGGCAGGCAGATTGCTTGAACCCAGGAGTTTGAGACCAGCCTGGGCAACATAGGGAGACCCTGTCTCTACAAAAAAAAATACAAAAATTAGCCGGTTGTGGTGATGTGCCACTTTGTCCTAGCCACTCAGGTGGCTGAGGCAGGAGGATCATTTGAGCTCGGAAGGTGGAGGCTGCAGTGAGCCAGGATTGTGACACTGAATTCTAGCCTGAGCAACGGAGTGAGACCCTGTCTTACAAAAAATTAAATAAATAAATAAAAGAACAGTACTTCTTAAAATCTTACTCTTAATGGCATTTATAGACTACATTCAGGCCTGATATTCAGCTGATACACACTGGTTCAGCTATACCAGTTGTTAAAATATTGGTATGTCTCTAGTAGTTGAATAGTTACT